AAGTGGAAACCAAGCTGTGAACCATGCATAATTTAATTAAAAATTATACACATCTGAATAAAATACCGCATATTTATTTAGGAACTGGCTCAACAAATACTGAATAAAATAAATAGATTTATTAAAAAGCGAATTTTCAGTTTTTATTAATAATATAGATTTTTCCCTATCTAATGATATCCCAGTTCCTTTATTGTCTTTAAAACTTATATAACTCTTACAAACAAACCACCATTGTATTTTAATATTGAAACCAAAGTTTTTAATTCATTTTTAGGCAAAAACATACAAAACTTACTTGTAAAGTTGATACCGAGAGTATAGCTCAAACATGCTATGTTTACTTATAATACAAAAATGTTTATTACATTTCAAGCATATTTATAATCCAAAGATTAAAAGTTGTGCTTAATAATGACCATTTCTGTGGTAATGAAAGGAAATCTAGAGGCAAATATAATATGAATGATAAAATCTAAAAAAAAATAATCTTAAAATTATAATATAAAGTATAAAAGTACCAACTAATTGGTGATTAATGTTTACGTACCTTAAATAAAGTCAAAATATGTTATAACGCAACATTTAAGTGCATTTTCAATATCTGTTTTCAGGTTATGTTTACAATTTCTTGAATTAATTTAATCGTTAAAAAATCGCGGTAAAGAAAAATTATAGTCTGAAACCCATTTGGAATTGCATATTCCGCTCTCGTGATACCGTCAAACTCGCCTTCGGCTCGTGTGACACTTGTTGCAGAATATACTCTTTTATTATATTTAAATATTTTTTTATGATGTTGTATATGGTAAAATAATAAATACCTATCTATATATCTAAAAAAAATACGCTGTTTGTTATTTATTATATATATTATAATTGTACTTAAGTATAAAGGTTTGAATTCTCAACGAAATTAAAATGTACTATTTTATTATATTTAAATATTTTTTTTAATATGTTGTTTATGGTAAAATATTAAATAACTATCTATATATCTAAAAAATACCCTGTTTATGGTTTTATAACAAGTATGAAGGTTTGAACTTTCAACGAAATTGAAATGTTCGTATTTTAAGGAAGACCACATACCTTAAAAACAAAGACAATATAAAGTGAAACAAGGATGACTAGATTTTTTTGCAATATTCACGTTTAGTGTTCTTTTAGTATTAATATATGTAATGGTAATGTTTGAAGTTTTTTTAATTTAAAGACATAGTTGGGATTATTTTATAATAACTTATAGACAAATACCTACATAAAATTATTGTTTTTAGAAGTCTAAAAACAATGACAAAATACACTCTCTTTGATAAATAATTAATTACAATGTAATTCTGCGTACGCTTCACGTGTTAAATCAAGACACATCTGTCACTTTGACCGCCGGCACGAGCTGCAAATTTTACGGTATGCGCCCTCTTGGATGTTTGAACATATTGGAGAAACCGCACATGCCTTATACGCAACGTGGCAATATTAACAGCCTTTCCCAGGGTTATTCCTGTTACTTCAAATAATTCAAAATTACAAACCTAATACTAATTTCCAAAAGAATAACAATAGGTTCTTAAAAAAAAGGCTTGAATTCAGGACAAAACGTGGTTTTACTGACAAATTACATTTATTACGTTCAAAACACACTCAGGCATCATTCTATTTTTATCGACGTTTGATGTCATTCTTCGTCTAAATATTTATAATTTCATTTTCTATTTTATAAACCAATCTTCGTAAATAGGGTATGCGTTTTCGACCTTTATTAACCCTTTTTACGATAATCCCAAAAAATGGTGTATATATTATTTGTCTTCCCCATAGCAAATGCAAAAAACATTATCTATAGATAATGTAAGGTATACCTTACCTATCTTTTTAAGATGCGTACTAACTGGCGCTGGTCCTGTAGTGATTACAAATAGCTATTTTAGGTTAAGCAAAAGGTTATTGTTCCCACAGTACTGCAAGTCCAATAGGCTTTTGGCCTGGCTGGCCTATTCAATGTTATTCCCTTGCTCCTATTTCCTTTATTGCCTCTTGTCAGCTGACCAGTCTTTTATTGATGGTCACAACTTTGATTGTGGCACTGGATAAACATGTAGATTCTCGCGCCATTATAGTTTTAGTTATATACGAGGTGTGTTCAGAAAATAACGGGAATTGTTAAATTTCGCGGGTTCGGAGGGTCCGGTTCATAAAATTTTCTTTATTATGTTGGTATACATGCCCCCGAAGTATGATAAAAACGTTAGCTGTTTTCATTGTTTATTTTGTCTGTGGCAGGCGCTAAGGTTGGACGTGTTTTATGAGCTCGGCGATTTTTCGTTCGTTAAAAGAAATGCACATGTGCAGAAAAAACGCTAGCATAGCAAGAATGGGTGAGCCATTAAACCAATGGGACCTTGTAATCCGTATTCCTGAAAAACAGTTCCTATAATACCAATAGGTAGTTAGCACTTCGTTTATAATCGTTTAATGTTTTTAAATTAACAACAAAAGTTATCGCTCCTAAATCTATTGATATTCATATTGATATTTATTTGTTAGAATGTTAGAATGTTATTGCATTAAATACTAATTTGATTTATTTAATAACATTACTATTGTATGTATACTATGTATACATTTAACGCAATAAATTCTTTGACATTTAGGCAAAATATTTCCCTATTTTGGTTAAATATTAATGAATTGAGCAAAAAACAATTTAGATTGCTTCAATTTTAATGCATTCAATGACAGCGCTTTTCTTGGTACTATGTTAGATTTTTTTCTGTGTGGATCAAAGAATTTGTATCCAATTTTGCTTAAAAAATGAAATAAATTCTGTGAAATGTTAACAAAGGCCTATAGTGAGTTTGCTATAAGTAAAACAAGAGTTTACAAGTGGTATAGGAGTTTCCAAGATGGCCGTGAAGACGTTGAAGATGACGAACGCCCCGAAGGCACAAGCGCATTAAGAACCGATAAAAACATGGAAAAAGTGGAAGAAATGGTTATAAACCATCAGAGAAGTCGCTGATGATGTTGGTATATCGATTGGCTCATCCCATGAAATTTTTTCGAATGTTTTGGGTATGAAACGCGCAAAGCAAAATTTGTTCTAAAATTGTTAAATTTTGAACAACATTTTTGGCCAAAAACAATACTGTAATGATGCCCCTTTATATTCGCCAGACATGCCTCTGTCTGACTTTTTACCATTCCCAAAAATAAAGAGAACATTAAAGGGCCGTCGTTTTGCAAGCATATATGCTTGACATTAAAAGCGCATCGCTGAAAGAACTAAAAGCTATCCCAAAGATCGAGTTTTAGAAGTGTTTCGAGCTGGCACATGTGCATAATATCCTATGGGTACTATTTTGAAGGCGTCAACATTAATGTAGACGAATAAATAAATATTTGTTTCAAAAAACGAAAATTCCCGATATTTTCTGAATACACCTCGTATATATCCGTATTAATTTCAAATAATATTATCATTAAGAAAAAGATCAGTTTATGAATCTTTTTCAGACATTTAAAATTATTGTTGTTTTTTTACATACATAAAGATATAATATGGTTGTTTTAATTAAGATTGATTTATATTTCAAATGTTTATGAAATGTTCCAAAATTTATATAATGCACAACCTACTAAACTAAACATGTAATTAAATCTGTTCGAACGAATTTAATTTGGATGATAATTGAAATTGAAACTATTTTGCCAGCAAACCCATAACATAGGTTCTTGGGAGTAAACAATTGGATTTAATATTCAACAATTTAAACTATCTATTTGAAAATGCACAAACTCTTCGTAAAACGTCATTATAAACCTTTTAAAGCCTTTTAATAGTTTGGAAGTTAGCATTTCTATTAACCTAAATCGAATAATAAGGTAATGCAATAATGCCTTCCTAACTCAAATTTGGCGATATATAATGCATTAAGCTTCTACAAAGAAAGTAAGTTGATTAAATTTTGGTAAAAAATGTAGGAATTAAATTTGTTTTATTTTTTTACATAATGAAATCTGAAAAACTAAGAATCAGAAAATTTTCTTCAATAATTATAATTTATCTTACTGATTAAAGTAAAGAAAATTTAGAACAGGTAAAATATAAATTGGAGTAAAAATATATTGATAAAAATTTGTCAATATTGGGTTTGGTTTTTATATTAAAAAAAAAGACAAACTACTATAGTTTGTTCGAATTTAACATGCGTCATCAATTTCAATACTAATAAAAATTATTCGTTCCATAATTATATACAGTGCACCCATGGGTATCAGCCAAATGGAATAAATTCGATAATACATAAATGGGGGCATGTTCCTAAAAATGCTCGGACACGTCGATTAGTATTTTTATTTGCGCACTTTTTTCAACAAAATTTTTTTGTACAGGGTGTCTCATATGTCAGTGGCCAATACCAACTTTCAAATTTCAAATGGAACACCCTGTATTTTATTCAATTTTTGGATTCTTCAGAAAATTATAGACATATTTCATGTACAATGTCCTATACCTATCTTCAATGGTTTTGGAAATATTGAAAAATTAACATTAAAGAACGATAATTATCATAATTATAATTTAATTACATAAAATCGCTACAACACTGAAAAACGAATAAGTTATACTGTTTACTTTTTGAGTCTGTAAAGAACAATTATTGTCAATATAGGAGATGTTCAAAATGCTCGCCGAGAACGACTTGGCAACATCCTAATCTTATAACATTAGAAGTAATTTCTATTTATAAATAGAAATTCATTCTAACGTTACTTAACATCTGAGGTGTGACCGATCTAATCGCCGGCGTTATTCATATTCTTAAGTCAGCTAAGTCGAGAGGTTTGGTTTTGTATACAATACTTTTGACATATCCCCATAAGAAGAAGTCTAATGGCGTCAGATCAGGGGATCGTGCTGGCCATTCCATCGGTCCTCTTCTCCCTATCCACCGATTTGGAAATATTTGGTTGAGGTACTGCCATACATTGATTTCATAATGGGGCGGTGCTCCATCTTGCTGAAACCATATCATATTCGCTGGAACTTGTGGGTTTGCTGGATCAGGAAATAAGTTTGTTACAGTAGGCACGATATTATTTTGGAGCAGTGCTAAATAATTATTGCCATTTAAATTGCAATCAATAAAAAAGGGACCTATAACCTATAACCTTCTCAGGATATTGCTTATGTTCTTTTCTCATCCAGTGAGGATTTTCCTTAGACCAATAGCGGCTGTTTACGCTTGGCCCATATATTATAAATTGTCTGTGTAACAAGTGCATAATATTTACAAGTAAAAGTAATTACCAAGAAAAGGGAGAATCAATTCTGTTATGACATCTGGAAGATATCAGCCGTCAAGTGGCTGCAACGCCCTCCCCTTTTTGGTGTATTTTCTACCTAGATTTTAGTATTTTAACATTAAGAATTTAAACTTAGTCATATACACAACCATGTTAAAATAAAGTTTTGTTTTTTGTTAAACCATCTTTTAATCGCGCAACATACTCAACATACTCAACGCAACGAACAGCGGCAATTTTGACGATTAACTTGACCGTGAAGTGTAAAGGTGGACTCATCAGAAAACAAAACTTGTTGTAATTGGATCACATTGTTATCTAACATTGCCATCATTTCTTCACAAAAATACGTTCTCCTATCAAAATCGTCTTCCGTGAGCTCCTGAGTTGGTATCATTTTATAGGGATGCATTTTATTTTCTTTTAAAGTTCGAAGAATCGATGAATGGCTAACACCGAACATTGGGGCTGCTTTTCCACTAGAAGTATGTGGGTTTTCCTCAAACTCAAGCATAATATCCAACTTGGTATCATTACTTATTACATTTGCAGCTATTTTTTTCATCTGCTTTACATGTCCAAGCTCGAGAACTGCTTTTCTATTTTACTAATTGTCCCTTGGAATATAGGAGGTAAATTTGGAAATTTTTCTTGAAATAAGCGAACAACTTCCATTTGTGTCCGTGTTCTATCTCCATAACCAATCATCTGTAGAATTGTTATTTTGTGCATTTCAATTAAATGAACCATGTTTCTGATATGCAGTTAACGAAATTCAAACACAAAACTATTTATAGCTTTTTTTTATTTCATATCAGATCCACTGAAATGGTTTTTGCTCATTAAAACCTAAATGGGAAATTAATATTGAGTGTGTAATCAAATAATTACAATAATCGTTCTTTAACGTTAATTTTTTAATATTTCCGAAACACTTTAAGATAGGTAATTGTACATGAAATATGTCTATAATTTTCTGAAGAATCCAAAAATTGAATAAAATACAGGGTGTTCCATTTGAAATTTGAAAGTTGGTATTGGCCACTGACATATGAGACACCCTGTACAAAAAGATTTTGTTGAAAAAAGTGCGCCACTAAAAATACTAATCGACGTGTCCGAGCATTTTTAGGAACATGCCCCCATTTATGTATTATCGAATTTATTCCATTTGGCTGATACACACTGTATAATAATTATTATAATATAGGGTTAAACGTTTCAAATGTTCATTAAGTCCGTTTCGTTGTGCATACAATTTTAGTCTAAACTAGTCCTATTGTGCATTGTTGTATTTACCTTGACATTTGTTGGGCAAGAAATTCGCAGCTTATAATCGAAATTCCTCATCAGACCGTTGTTAATTCTCCAACGCCCTATATACACCACTAATTACACGACAATGGACCTCCTATTGTTTTCACGGTGTGATTTATGGATGGGTTTTAATTCGGAACAAATTAAAACGGAAGTCAATGTTCCGTAAAGTGTTCGCTATTAATTATAAGCGGGGAACCCCGTGTCAAAAATTAATGCAACACGCGTAAGGGACTCGAGCAGAGAGTATGTGTTGTGTTGTAGAAGGCCATGTGTTGTGTGCGGCGCAGGGTGTTGATGTAGTTTTCGGCTTTGCAACCCTGACACTATACAGGTCCCGATATGAATTTCAGTGGTGTTCCTAAAAATTCATTAAACCTTGTTTATTCTGAAAGTTTTAAAATTATTGGAAATTTTAAAAAATTTGTAAACTTTAAAAAGTTTTTGACAGTTAGTAACTTTCAAGCCTTTTTTACAAAACAAGTTTGTAGTATAGTATATTATTATACGAAAGATAATGCAGGCTATTATTCACGAGGATGAGGTTTTCATCGTCAGACGAGAGACTCAAATCATCCGAATGAATAATGTCCATAATCTCATAGTGTAATACTATACTTTAACTACTTCAATAAGTAGATGATTTAATGATTTTAAAAAATAAATAAATAAAATCTGACATCTGGGCGAATTTTCGTTAAATGTACATTTTGTATATATATTTTGTCCAGGCAGGTCAATTTGATCGTTTTTTTCCTTTGTGATAGAACTTAAAAACTTTAGAGAAAAAAAACTTAGGGTTAATCTGAAATAGGGAAGGAACACAAGGAGGAATTGAAACATTGTCTTCCTCCTAACGCATCTTCCTAAACGTTTCATGACACATTGCTTTTGACTTTTTCAAACGTTATTTTTCAGAAATACTGTTAAATGTAAATATCTTTCAACATTTGTTTGGAATTTCTACTATGCTATAATACAAAATGAAAATAAAAAAGTTAACTTCTAAAACAAGAGTTGTATGTAGCGTTTTGTAAAAGACACCAAAAAGTGTACGAAAAAAAAATTTACCCTTTAAAATATTTACAAAAAAATTCACACACTTTACATGTGCTCATTTGTTGTTGCCGAACTATCAAACTGGATTCCCTCTAGAAATAAAACGCTAGTATCTCTATCTCGTGTCTCTATTTCGAAGCAGTCGACATAGAAGACGACGTCGCGACGTTAGGAAAAAAAGATTTTTGAATGTCAACTTTAATATTTTAGTTTTATATACGAATAAAATAACTTTCCATTGTTAAAACATAATTTATTTTTTTCAGAAGAAAGCTGCAAAGAAGAATATAATAATTTAAATTAAAAAATCGCCTCTTTAGACAGTTAGGTTACAGGACATTTTACCTAGTTTTTCTGCTATATATAGAAACACGAAGTAATTAAAAAAAAATAATACGGTGGGTTCTAACAGAAAGGGGGTATTTAAATATAATAAATACAAAACTTATCAACAAAGGTCAAAAATAAAAATAAAATTAGCTGGGGACAGCAAATATACATTTAACGAAAATTTGCCCATCTATCAAATGGTTAACCTTACTTTTACCAATTTTAAATGTAATTATAGTCGCCAATGAGCTGACCAAATAGTTTTTAAATAAGCTAAAGGCCATCCCCCCTGAAGAAACGGAGAAGTTTATTCAGAACAAAGAAGAAGAAGAAGAATTATAGTCGCCTTCTTCCAAATTAAAACCCGATTGGATCAAATCACAGTAAATATTGAAATCGGCCAATCACTGATGCCTAACAACATGAATATTGAGTTTATTATTCACGTTAGGCTGGGAATTTATAATGTTTATCAATATTCACGAAAAAAAAACACAAATTATGCAATAGGAGTTGATAAAATATATTATCATTTAATATATTATCAGTTTTATTTTCCTTTTAATGAAATTTTATTTAATAAAATAAATATTATAATTAAAAATAAATTAAAAAGTCCAGAATGTAGGCCAATCTTTTTTTATTTAAGTAAAAACTAAAAACTTCATTTCATTGTAAAAAAAATAAGACAATAAACGTAATTGTTTTATTACTCCATATATTTTTTTATTTTGGCTGATTTGATTAATATATTATATTTCTTTAAATATAGTTTTTATTTCTACCTCAACAGTTCGAAGGGAAACCCCTATAAAAATAGTTTAGCACGTATTTTATATAAAACCAAACTATGTAATAAAAAACTTTATTCACTACTCTAAAACATAAATTGCTAGTTATAGCAGCAAAGACCAACAAGTAGATACAAACTAAAGCTGAACAATTTGTTAAGATTATAATGTCCTCTAATAAAATGGCGCAGTCGAGACGAGTACTTAACCAGTATTTGCAATGCCGATTTATAAATAAAGGCTGCCTTTTACTGCTAAACTTTTATTCGCAAAACGTAAATTAGGACTTTGCGTAAATGAGACACTTTGTGTAACAAACTTTAGAGTATCATCTGCAAAAGGCTTTTTATAAGGGAGCGTAATTTTCAAGAAGCAAACTTAAGCCATGGCGCAGGGAAATATTATTAAAATGTCCCCATAAATAAAAATAATCGGTCCGAATAAAATTTATAACGTAGAAAGTGTCTAAGAACTTCAGGTAAAGATTAGAATTCCAATTGATTTATGAATTAGTTCAGATTTAATTAAAGGGTTGCAAAAAGTTTCGCTAAAGTTTATTTTTGCCCTTCTGCATAACTTAAGTTAACTATGGTGCACTTGAATTAAGTTAGGGATTAGGTATTATAATAAGTAATTAAGTTATAGCTACTACCACAAGAGTCAACTTTAAACATCTGTTGAGCTTCTATACAAAAATTTAACGTCAAAATTTATATGCCAATCATGCACTGAATTTATCCTTTATCGTATAAATAACACCGAGGTTTTATTCAAAATAAAAGAACTGTCGGGTGAAATTACAATTAAATCGAATTATTATTCTGATATAGGATGGATTTTTTCGGTGTTCATTTTTTAAATTCCATTTTATGGCTTTTTAAGTATTCCAGGGCGTAATTTTCGAAATACAAAACTAATCTTTATAACTGCGCAATATCATTAAATTGTCGCCATAAATAAAATATAATAGGTCTGGGATTTCGGGGAACAAACCGATTAAATGTTTGTTTTCTTAAAAATGTGCAGTTAGTTATTACTTTATAAATTGGGTTTAAAATTGCATATTTTGATTATAAAGCATGGGGGAAAAAATAAAGGTTATATTTTTAACTTTTGTAATTAATTATAAAAATATATTTTTTATGCTAAACACTATGATAACGTTAAATTAATTAATTCTTTCTTACTCTGTTCATAAGTGCAACGAGAGCGACAGTAAAAAGATGCGTGTGCCTTACCTGCGCGTAGACTAAAATATCTATTTACAACCACTATGTAAAGAGACAAATTTTGTACAATTGACAATCTAAGTTACATACCATCACTCTACGCACAGTTTTGTGGAAAGTTGGTCGATCGGACAGTTAGGAAATTCCATGTGATTAAGTTTTAGTTGCTATGTGACCATAACAGTTATGCTAGGGAATCTTTGCTTGCTTGATTTGTTACGTTATGGTGACAAAATTAAGTAAATGACAGATAAGAACTGTCAATGTCAAATTCAAAAAAGGTTAAAAAATGTGCTCTAGATAAAGTAGTGCATGTGCATTCCTCAAATGGTAAAGGAATTACGCACTCGCCCTTATTATATTACACAATTTGTACATAAAAAATTAAGATATAAGCGTAATAAAAAAGCGAATTTTAAAATAGTTATTTATGTATCAAGGCAGTAATGTCGTATTTTCTATCACGAAAGTGGAAATTAACCACGTGACTGATAAAAAATGACTTTAATGCCGAGGTGCATATTAAATTTTATCCGAAATCGCATTTAATAATACTAATAATTAATATGGATAATTAAATCAAATGTCATTTGATAATTAAATCAAATGTCATTTGAAAGTGTCTACGTATACTGTTTGTTGCGACAGTTATTATATATTTTCCCGCCACGGCGATTTTTTAATGTAATTAATAAAATTAACTTATTATTTTTATTAAACAACATTTTATGAAAGGGTCCAATCGAACTCCGCGACGGTGCTTTTTTTAATATTGTTTAGTTGCTGCTGAGGAGCAGTAGACACATCTTAAAATGTATAATGAGTTGCATACAATACTC